AAACTAACAGCAAACCCCCAGTGTTATAGAGCTCCTTTATTTCCTTAGAGATCCTCCCTGTTTCAAAGCTTTCAGATGCATCTAAATTCACAGATTAACATTCTCAGCACCAGGGACAATGTGAGAGTAGTTTGTTTCTACAGTTACTGTTAGGTCCAGGATCTCCACTGACATCCGTAGTCACTAAAGTACTGTATGAATTTGCATTTGTAGATAATTTTAATAATTGTTTTAGAGTTAAATCTCAAGGGTACAAAGCTATGGAAGTGTTCCAATTTATTTTACAATTAAATAAAGGGGGGGTTGTGGGTTGGGTTTTTTTTTAGTGCCTTTTGAACCACAGACTGTCAAACCCCACTTAAGCAGTCAAGCCCAAAAGGGCAGATGCCTTTTCAAGGGGTTCAAATGGAAGAAGAGTGTCCTAAATGTACATACATTTGTTTAAAACTGTAAATATTTACTACATAAATATGGTACCTGGTCATTAAAAAAAATAGAGGAAGAAAGGCAGTGCAATTTTATGTATTTTATTTTTTAACAACAGGGAAAGGGTTTGAGGAAAGAGGAATCAAACTGGGATTCATAGAAAATTGCCTCCTTCATTTCAGGTTTTATAGAGATCATTAGTCCAATCTTCTGCTGCATTGATGCACTTTCACTGCCCCCTCTTCTGAGCTTTGCCAGCTGATACCAGCTAAAGCTGTCTGATGTAATTCTCACTTGCCTTGTGCTATAACCTGTAACTGTGTGTTTCTCCCTATTTAAGTCTGAGGGTTAGAAAATAATTCCCGCTATTAGAAATAGATCGTGAGCTTTGATTTGGAGTCAGTAGCTGAAGAAGAGAGCAGAAGGATGGCAATGACAAGGCTTGGGCTGCTTTGCCAGAGGCTTCCTGTGCCACTGAGCAAGTCACTTATCTCCTTGTACCTGTTTCCCAGCCATATGCAGCGATAATAGTTTTTCCTTAGCTTTTTGCACTGTTGTTAGGCTAAAGACTTTGAAGAAATTAGGTCCCATAGCTGGAGGCTTCAAAAGCACTTTGGATGGATAAAACAAGTTGCTGAAAGCAGCCATCAAGGTGCTACTGTAAACTGTACTGAAGTCACAGTGGTGGCCTGGCATCCTCCTGGTATTCACATTGTGCATCTCCCTTTCCTAGCCTGACTAACACAAAAAATTTCTCCTATGTAGCTCACACACATGAACAAAAATGGAAGTATGTGTCAGGCAACTTCCCAAAACATCAGATACAGCCAGTGCTGACACAGAAAACAGTAACACTGGATATCTCCAGTTCTCTCTTGATTAGAGTTGCAGCTCCCTTAAACCATTAGAGCGAAGTAGTAAATTGCTTCCACAATATCCAGTTAAGATGAGAAATCTCTTAGTCATGATTTTGACCTACCAGTTTCAGGCCCAGCAAGTAACTAGAAGAACTGAGTATGTCTGAGTCAGCTGAGACCATTTTACTAAATCACTTGGACATTCCCCAAATCTTTCTTCATAGGTAGCTGCATACACACGCAGATCATGCACGTGCTTTCAATCAGTCAGATTGCTCATGTGTTAACTGAAGCAAAATCTGGCATGGTGGGGGCAGAGGATGTAACTAATATACAAAAAATGACCTAACTGTCAGGGCTCTGGGTGTGTGGTACAGTTGTCCTGAAGTAAGTGTACTCGTCACTCTCCCAGAGTGTACCCCAGTGCTCTGACATTGCATGGTGGTTGCCATTTAAGAAAATTTACTAAGGATTTATACCCTTTTTCACCAACAATAATAGAACTTTGTTCGCCCTTCAAAATTATTTTTTCCTCTTCTTGGGAGTGAAGGTTCTCAGGATCAGTGGTAACTTTTTTGCTTTTCCTAAAAAACCAAAAATAGTACATAAGTCTGATGGCTAGGGGCCCAGTGATGGAGCCTTTATATGGATTTTGCATTCTTTTGTAGCTCCCAAATATCATGCTAGGCCATGAGAAATTGGACTTCAAAGTTGTGATGCTTCTTGCATTTCAAAAGAAAGCCTCTTTAACATAGTGCTCATGTTTTGCATAAATTTCTTTGAATAATAGTTCCGAGCAATTATAAGCTGATATGACACAGTACAGAGGCAGTAATAGAAAAATTATGTAAATGTAGGTTGGGATTACATTCTAGCACTTTTACACTAAGATACCCCAGAGAATGTTGGTGCTTTCCAGTGATGTAGGCCTTCAATTCCCTTCTTTACTAGAAAATTTAGGTTCAAAGACAAACTCTTAATGGACACCTTGTGGAACTGGAGTCACATTAGCTCACAGAGGCACTGCCCTCTGCTGCTGCCCAGCCAGGATGCTTTCTGCAGAGCTCAAGCACTGGTAGGGCTGAGCCAGAAGCACAGAGACCCCTCTGCCGTGTTCTGAAGTGCATTGGGAGACTGGGAAGAGGAGAGGTGATGCAGGTATCTTTGTGCTTGTTTTGTCTGTTTTGGGTATTACATGCTGCTTAATGATGAGAGAGGGCTCATGCCTTGTTAACCTACAAGAGCTGCTGATGGTGTTAAAGCTGTGTGCTTAAGGACTGACTTCCTAGAGCCCGTCCGGGAACCTGTGCTGTGACCTCTGTAGTGGGTGCTGTATCTCTTCTGGTGAGCACTCTTCTGCTTGTGGCAAGGCATTGCTCTGACCCACAAGGCTGTGAGCGAGGCACCTGCTATTACTGTGTAAGGAGAGCACAACTCCAGAAACAAAAGGTTTGGAAAGAGTAACTCCACACTGCAGGCAGCACCCAGCTCTGGTCACTCTTGTATTAGATTTTATGTAATTCATTAAGATGGGTATGTTAATTACAAGCTTGCTGTACCTTGGCATAAAGATTGCCATCTCTCTTTGGTAGTTACAGCAATGCCTGCTGGATGGTCAGGGCAGCTGTACGAACACCCATTCTTCCCATCCATTCCTCCCTTACACAGGGAGCAGAGAAGGCCCAGGAAATACAGCTGAAACCAAATTAGATGCCAGCAAGGATGTCAGAAGAGAACAAATTGGGAAGTGTCTACTTTATGCCAAATCATTTTAAGGACAGCTTGAGAGGTGCAAAAGGTATGAAAATGACTGGGCAGAAAAGGTATATGGCAGAGCACTGAACTTCAGAGTTATCACACAGCTTCGACCAAGAACACTACTGCACTTAGAGGCTATCCTTACTAGCAAAAACATGTGGCCAGGAAAAACACTTCTCACACGCTTCCCTTCTGTAGTCTCTGGGATGCTACATAGCTTAAGAGGGGAGCTCTGTTAACATTTGTAGTAGTGAACAGTGTGACACAATGTTTCCACATAAAAAATTCTGCTTGTGTTGACTGGGAAAAAGCCTATTTACTTGACTGCAAATAAATTTCACAATTTCACTTCTAGCTCTGTTGTTGTACCAGGAACTCCCTTTGAAGTTGTTAATGCTCCAGGGAGATCTTGCTTTGTGTTATTTGAGTCTGATATACATTATAGTCAGATTTTGATCCTTTGTGACAACAGCATAAACTCAGAATAAATCCTGCTGGGGTCCTGGCCCATGGCCCTTCAATGGAGTAATTCCGTTGCAGGTGGCAGCAGCATCTGGTCTTTTATGTTTTTAATAGTGGCTGTGAGATCCTCAAAGGATGAGGAATTTGTGTACGGCTCAAGTTCTTTTCTTTCAACGAAAGCTTGATAATGACGTTCTCACCCACAGTTGAAAAAAAAGAAGATACAGCAGTGCTCCAGGTCTACAAGCAGCTGCTCCATCACTGGGAGTCTGGGAGGGTCAGTGTTACCTGTGGGGATCTCAGCCCACAGGCAATACTCTCAAAACTGAAATTTGCAGCTTAAGGTACCTTTGAGGAACTAACTTTAGTGCCCCTAGGCACTTTGACAGTGTTTTAATGGGGCCATAATTCCAGCAGCATTAATCAGACCCTAGGATGTAAAAATGAATGATTCACAGAGAAACACTGTGTTCTCTCAGTCTGTCACTGTGGGAAGGCATTGGTAATGCATGAGTGGGATTTGTGATATTTTTCAGTTCACATGCTTAGGGATTTCCTCTGCAGCCTCAGGAAGGGCTTTATTTCTCTGCAGGAGGAAGTGACAGGGGTCCCTTGAAAGGAAAGGTAAGGTTTCACAGGTTACAGTGTGGGTGTGCAGAATGACTGGCCAAGGTTGAGGGACCCTGGTCAGGGCAGCAGGGTGACTTGCCTGCACAAGCTCATGCAGTGAGAGAGACCGGATCTGTTGTTGGATTTTAAGGGACTTCTGTTTTGTCTTTTGTTTTAAAGCAAGCTGGGGAAAGCCAGTGTTGATGTTTAAGAAAAGAATTTATGTACAGGAGATCAGGGCTCTGTTCACAGCATTGCTGCAAATACTCATCCAGGGCCTGTGGCAAATGTTCAAGCCTGGTGACCACCAGTGGAGTGGTTAAGCATTCCTGAATGCCTGAGATGACTAACCACCCACTGTGTGCAATTCTCACCCCCACTTCCTCCTCCATTTCTTTCTCCTCTCCCTTTGTTTAAATTTACCTGGTTAGCTTCCAGCCAAACACCGAGGAGCAGGGGAGTGCATCATCCAGCACACTGAGGAAGAAGGCAGGGCCACAGCCCTGGCTCCTATAGCATCAACACAAAATACCTGGAGTAGAGTCTGTTTCCTTAACGGGATACATGCTCTGCCCTGCTACTCAGGCCTGTGATCAGCTTGGTCATTGGCCTAAATTAGGATTGATAATCTGAATTGCTTGCTGTTTAAAAAGGCAGCAAGAGAGGGGAAGAGTTTGATATGGTCCTATCAAGAAATAGTGTGAAAATTAATTGCAGCATGGGAGGGAAAGGGACACCAAGGCTGTGATCCAGGAATGGAAAATGTGGGATGTGAGACAATGGAAAGACATTTTAAGACATATGTACTTTTGACTTGTTCCAGAAAAGGGGTAGTGAACAAGTGAAGATGGTTTCAGTCACTTTTTATGTTTTCTGGTTTTGATCTAGGTCTGCTCCAGCTCCTACTCCAGGTCCCACCAATGCTGGGGCTGCAGGGCCACCTCCTGCTACCAATGTGTCAAGCAACAAACGGCTGCAGCAGACACAAGCCCGGGTGGATGAGGTAAGTGGCTCTAGGTGATTTGTTGCTCACTCCAAAGGTGCTGATGTGATTATTTTTTTTTTTTCTTTAAGATGCTTTCCTCCCTAGTGATCCAGCAACTCCTGCTTGTCTGACAGCACTGGATCTAGGAAATCAGGTTTACCAAAGGATGGCATTTATGAGGAGGCAGACAGTACAAGATAGATTATGAACATGCTTGTACCAGTAACACTTCTGCAGAATAAATGTGGGCATTGGTGCCAATTCAGAAACTCATCCCAAGCAGTCAGGTTAGGAGGAAACGTCATAGTGGAGCCAGGTCTTTTAACATGTTCCTGCGTTCCTAAAGGCTAGATGCTAATCTCACAGGCTGTTTCACAGGGACAGACATCAGCCTCTTGTAGACAGATTTAAGCCACAAGAATTGTACGTCTGAGGGCTGTGTTCATTAGCCAGAGCTATCTCCAAAGAAAGGCACTCACACATGTTGTCATAACAGCATCGTCAACAAATCCCCACTCCTTTTGTTGGTCTTGGAGGACCACATGCCTGTTTCCAGCATGGATCCTTAAATTCTTGTAGCATGCAGACTACCCTGTCACCTCAGCTGGAATGCCAGTGTTCATCTAACTGCTGTGATAATGGGAATAAATGAGCATGCCACTGCTCATGAGTGTAGTCCCTGAACATACCAGCAGTACAGTAACAGCTGTAGCATCCTTGCACACCTGCTGTGCAGATTTGCGTGCTGGTATTAAGTACAGAGTTTTGCTAAACTCCTACACGGACTTAAGTAACTAATTGCTTAGTGTCCATGGGGAAGTGGCCAGGGCTTGTTTGTTTAATGCCAATTAAAAAAAATACACATTAGAAATTAGCTATTAACATGCATAAAGGCCTCTATTTTCAAAAGCCCCAGGTATGCTTTAGAATAGTAGAGAAGACCTTACAACATCCAACTCAAATGCTTTTCTTAAGATGAATTAAATACACCTGTCAAATTGAGCTTTGTCTTTTTGAGAACTTCTTTGCTGAAGATCTGAAACAGGGTCCTTAGGGCCTCCCTGTTGCTGATGCTCGGAGCTGATCACAAGAACATCCTCTGGCTGCAGAAATGTCTGCAGAAATTTCTAGGCCTGTTTTTTTCATTATCACTGATTTTCATATCGCACTAACTTCATTGACATTACTGGAGTGTCTCTCAGTGGGGAAAGGAATATTGCATTCCAGCTTTTATTTTAGGTCAGACTAATGAAATAAACTTCTTGTCCTGAAGATATTACATCATGATGTTGCTGTAATGTTTGTGTGAGCTACAACAAAAGTAATTGTCCCTAGAAGATGAAAAATAATTGGTAGTTATTGTCTAAAACGAGTGATGCAGGTCAGATACATAGGGCTTTTCAAGCAGATGAATGGAGATGGCTCCAGTGAGGTTAGTGAACCCCTGCCTTTTTGTTTAAGATACTCTGTATTCTGAGACTTTTCACTCAAGCCCATCCAAGTTTGTCTTCTTGTGAAGCACGATGGAGTAATTTTGGCAGTAACTCTTACCTAGTATGAGAGCACAGTCAGTAGCTCTTAGGTTTGAGGGTTATGTGGGTGATATGTGGGTCCACATTATTTTTGCCTCCAGTTTGAGAAGGAGGCTGAGGGCTCTGAGTGGACAGCACATGGTCAGCAGATCCTTGTTTAATAGGGAAATCGCAGTGTAAGAACAGCCAGGAGAGAAAAACACCACTGGGCTTTCAGTACCGTGAGGTGACTACGGGTGAAACTGGTTTATAGCGCCTAAGAATCCAACCTGTTAAGCATTGCTTTGACCTTCCTACTAGCTATTTCCTGGTTGTTTTTCTTTCTTGTCTTGTGGGAAAGTAATCTGTAGGTGGCACCAAACACCACAGCACAGCACTATGCTCTTGGCTATTCTCCTCTAAGTGCTGTTCCGAATAGCACGTCAGACCCAAACCCAAAACTCAGCAACACGATCATGACTTTGCTTCAGAGAAAATTTTCGGTCTTAGTAAAATAACTGACATTTTTAATGCTGTTTCAATGCTGATATAGTATTTCATCTGCCTACAGGAGAGATGGGGAGGCACTCTTGATCAGGGAGTGTAGTGAGAGGACAAGGGGTAATGGGTATAAGCTGAAAGAGGGTAGATTTAGACTAGACATTAGGAAGAAGTTTTTCACTGGAACAGGTTGCCCAGAGAAGCTGTGGATGCCCCATCCCTGGAGGGGTTCAAGGCCAGTCTGGATGAGGCTTTGAGCAACCTGGTCTAGTGGAGGGTGTCCCGGCCCATGGCAGGGGGGTTGGAACTTGATGACCTTTAAGGTCCTTTCCAACCCAAAACATTCTATGATTGTATGATTCTATGATCTATGTCCATGTTGGGTTTTTCCCTCTGGTTTCTCTAGGCATCCTCAAGCTTATTTTCTAAGGCTCAGATCTTGGTTTTAATCTAGACAAACATTTATTTATTTGATAAAAATGCAATCTCATCTGGACAAGTGTTCATTGCAGTCAGGTTAAACTCAATAAACAGTTTTGAGAAAAAAAAAAAAGAGAGAATCAGTAGAAAATGTTAGAGTATTTTGTTTCAGCATTATCAAATAGTTGAAAATTTTTACTACAAAACATTATGCCAAGACAAAATTTATCTAAATACTAGCTGAGAAATTAAAACAAAATGTTTAAAAAATTTGATATTAAGTTAAATGCTTGGAAGGTTTTGTTTTGGAAAAGCAAGAAAATTTGGGTTGACCAAAACAATTTATTTTGTTTTAGCTTTGGTGGACAAGTAAAACAAACCTTTTGAGTCTTGGAGCAGCATGTAACCCTATGCCAATCCTTTCAAAGATTCTTCCACTACCAGTTTCATCACACTGTATTTCAATAATATATTTAATACTAAGTTAAATTATATTAAATACAAACAACATGGACTTCCTTGTTACAGAGTATGAGAAGTAATAGTCCAGCAACCATATTCACTGCTAGAATAAGTGGACACAACTTTACTGAGGCTGATATACTGTCCAACATTTACGTTGGTGATGAATTTGCACAGGATTGCTCTTTAGAGTTATTGGCTTGCTAGAAGAGGATTTTTGTCTAACTTAATGTATAAAATGTATGCATGAATGGGTCTTACCTATTGTGTACTGGCTGTGCACACTTTTTGTGTTGAGGCTGTGCAGTGAGGTGGCATGAGCTCCCTGCTAAACTTCGAGCTGAATTTTTCCAGGTAAAATTTTCTCCTTCACTTTCAAGCCGGACTTCAAACTATGGCTGGGGGCCATCTTGTCCAAGAAAGATCTGCAGAATGAGTAAATTCCTTGGTCACAAAATGCATATGGTTTTCTTTAGTGGCCTTTATCTAGCCAATTTCTCTAGTTCAGGTAAGGAAATTATATTAAATGTATAAAGAAAATAATGGCTTGATCTTAGTGGTGACTGGACAAACGTCAATCAAATTGTAGTAGGAGTACCGGTATCCATTTTTTTGTATCTATAGTGAAGTAGCTTATTGTAGGCTAAAAGACATCAAAACTTTTAATGAAACTAATTACAGTATTTCATAATGTCCCATCATTTTTTACCTTTAAGGGCATCTGAGCACAGTATAACCATGTTCATCTTGTTTTCACTGTGTCTGTTTCCATAGGCATGGTTTTTGAGGCACTGTCCAGGTAACTGCCATCACATACCATAATGGCAAATGGCTGCTTTCAGTATGATATGTGATATTCCAGAGTGTGAACATACAAGTGACTTTCGAAGTTACTGTGTGTGGAATCTAAGGTGAGGCTGTACCTTTGCAGGTGGTAGACATCATGAGAATGAACGTGGACAAGGTGCTAGAAAGAGACCAGAAGCTATCAGAGCTTGACAACCGGGCAGATGCATTGCAAGCAGGTGCCTCACAGTTTGAAACCAGTGCAGCCAAACTGAAGAGAAAATACTGGTGGAAAAATTGCAAGGTAAGGAATGTAAATGCTTGTTGAGAATCAAGTCACGGCAGACATTACTTTTACTTGCATTTAAGGGGACTTTGCTTGCAGGATGGGATCTCTAAGTGGTCTATTACTTGTCAAGGGGAGAAAGAGATGCCTTGCCCTCGAGGCTCCAGGATAATAAGTCAAGAAACTTTGATCTTTACCAAAACCTACTCTTTAGATAATTTCTGCAGTATATAAAATGTAGATACAGATTTTGATGCTTCAGTCAGTGCCTGAGATAGGGATGGGAGAGCATTCCATGTGAATGTATGTCAGTTCCCTGTGTTAACCACAAAACCTGAATAGGTGTAGCGAATACTAGTAGTGGGAGAAAATAAGCCTTTTTCTTGTGAGAGATTACAAGCCTCTTGATCTTTCTTTAGGATGGTAAACTACCAAAAAATACTTGGTTCCACAAACTGCTGAGAGAAGTGAGGAAGTTACAGTCTCTTTTAAGGAGGGACAGATTAGGACAGAGCAGGACCTTTAATCAACCAGCTCTCTCCTCTACTGTCTTCAAAGTCTGATCCTTTCCCATGAGCAGAGGGAACCTCACTCTCCTTTGCTTTTTCAGACCTGCACAGCTGGCTCTGATGTATCTGTTCTTGTGGGAACAGACTTCAACTTTGCACTGAGCTATTTCTGGGATAACACACTGGAAACCGTGCTGCTAGCACAGGCTACCTCTCTCAACACCACAAGTACACAAAACCAGCACTAACTGCTAGGCATTAGACATCTCCAGTTGCCTCTTCCCTGACTACAAGAACATGGTGAAAAGTGATCAAGTTACTCTGCTATAAAGTAGTACATGGCCATGTGTGAATCCAGCCACTTGAATCACCTGTGGAGTTGTTTTACTTGCAAATTTACCTTTTCTTTACTGCTGGAAATGGACAAGATTGGTCACTGCATCTTAGCTGATGGGCAAGAATTTGCTAGCTTTGACAAGAGGCTATGTCTATTGCTGGTGGTCAGCTGTTCCTAAAATTGCCACTAAATTTTGTGCCTTAACAAGTCTGTTGCAGTGAGTCTTTGCAAGAAATGAGCCACTAAGTAAAAGCAAAAAACCTGAGGGATAATGCCTTTCATGTGAAAACCTGACTTTCTCTTTTTTTTCTCATAACTTTCTTCTTATAGATGATGATCATCCTTGGTGTAGTATGCGCAGTCATTCTCATTATAATTATAAGTGAGTAATTCATTTTCTCTTTCATTTATGATCTCAATAGCTCTGTGACTTATGAAGTGCTGATGTATTAAAAAAATGATATAAAATATTTCAACTGATTAATTTGTGAAATTCACCTTCTAGTGTCATGCTGTTATAGTGAGAATTACTGCAAACTCTCTGGACACATGTATAGGTAGAATTTGTTGACATTTAATGTATTTTACATTAGCATGTTACATAACTTTCCCTAGGATTAAAGACTCTCCCTTTTCATGTTTATATACATTTTTATGCAGTGTCTTCCTTTCATTACAACCAGTGCCACAGTCCTGGTGTTTCCTGGTGAGAACAGTAATGCTCAAATTACCTTATGCCTATAAAAAGAGGGTGAAGGCCCACAGGCAAATGGGCATCTGATGATTTTTTTTTAAAGCATGTAGGTGCTTAGTTCCAACCAAATAATCTGTAATTTGAGAATGCTGGTGCTTCTGAAAATCCCTTTGCATCTTGAATACCTAAATATTGTTAAAAGATGGCCCAAAGTCTTACTGATTTATTGTTTCGAGAGATCATCCCATTCCACACATTTGTTATAGGAAAGATAGCACATGAATGAATAATAAGAGTCATGCTGGTTGGGAGCCAAGAATCTTGTAATGACAGGAACTGAACATTTTATTTATGTAACCTCTGTGTTAGCAACAGCCATTATGTGACATAACTGTAATATGGCATTAACTCGTAAAAGGGAGATTTCTTGAGTTAGACAACCCAGCTAGTAACCCAGAAGAGATTCACCAGGAGGCTAGACTATGGATGTGAATTAATTCCCAGCTCTCAAATTACATGCCTTGTATTCAGCATGTTTCCATTTTCCTCTGTTGCTTCTGTAAAGGAGGCTTATAGAATCATCTGTAAACATGACTAAATGGATTGAGATACATGTGGCAGTTTATCAGTCTTACAAATGCTGGCACCAGAGTGACCCAGAATAATTCTAGGGTTTCGTAACACTGATACAGCAAGAATGGGAAATGGCTAGATATTAATTAACTATATTAACTGGGTACTCGAGGCAACTGGCTTCAAGGGAAAGATGGGCCTTTGTTCTGCAGTGTAGTGCAGCAACCTGAGAAGACAGATGTGCAGCCATTGAACTGATTGCTGGATATATATGCATCACCAGCCATTATGTGTATCTTAACAAGAAAGTAAAAAGCAGACAAGATAGATAGCTCATAAATTCTCCTTACTGAAATTATACATAAGTAAAAACCTTTTTTCCCCTCCTAGTTTTAAATGTTGGATGCCTGTCCTGATAAGTTTAGAAACAGAAATAGCAGGTTTGACATGGCTAGGTTGGGTTTAGGGTATTTAAGCACAAACTTCAGTGTCACATCATCAAACCCAGGTCATGGCTCACCATAGTGAGATCTAGTGCAAGTTTAGTGAGATTTAAATGTATTTAAGCTCTGAATTTTAAATTGTTTTTTCAGTCTATTTTGTCCTTCTGTAATAGTGCCTAAAGGTTGCAGCTTCAGGAAGGACCCTGTGTATTGAACTCAATGATGTATTTATTTACAGTAGCTCCCAAGTATATGTTTAAATCCTGTTGACATCAAGTGTCCAAGTGCTGTCACAGACAAGGCCTGCATGGCTTCTCCAGTCACTGATTTGAAATGGGAACAAGATCATACCCTGCATGCAGGGCTGGCTATAGGTGCAAATAAACTGGGTAGTTCCTCACAGCAACAAGCTACCATGGGTACCATGGAATACCATGTTGTATTTCATGGGTGGTGAAATGGCCCAAGCCAGGCTTCCTACCATCCTGGTAGTGGGGCCCTGGAAAAGCAAGCTGGGTCCCTGCTGAAGGAAGAGTTACAACATGTGAGACTGATGGTGATGCTGTAACTGGGGATGGTGGCTAACATCACTATCAGTCCTTTCCCTTTCTATCTTTTGAGCCACAGTCTCCCTTCCTTTCCCCCTCTGAACTCCTTTTGACACAGGAGGAGCATCTCCATTGCAGCTAGGAAGGCATGCTGTAAGACATGTCATACTCTTTCAGTAAAGATGTGCTAAAGGTGTTTGCCATCTTCTGACAGCACACACTTCTGTGAGATAAAGCACAACAGTAACTCTGTAATAACTGTTGGTTTATGCCTTTTTTTCCCCCCTTCTGCTTCCTTTCCTAGTTTATTTCTCCACTTGAAAAAGCGAAGAAGGAAGACTTGGCACAGCCGTGTTCGTATCAACCAACGATATCAGTGTTCCTTTGTTGAACTCCGCTTTTTAATTCCCGGTGTCTTGGGATTTTTGCTTGTAATAACCCATAAGCATTCAGCGTGGTGTGTTTTGGAATTCTGTTGTTTCCACAAGAAACTGTACCAGCTAAATACTGCCAAGTAGTTCCATACACTGTCTTATCACTGTGTCTTAAAATGTGTATGCACTGACCTTCAGAAACTGTAGTATAATGAAAAGCATCCTAAACATCTCAGAATCAGAGAATGAAGCTATGGGGAAGCCCCTGCCTAAAGGGACACTGCCAGGTGGATTGGACCCAAACCTAAGGCTGCAGCAAACATTAGGGCCAAAAATGCTCAATCTGAGCACCTTAAGTTGGATGGCAAAAATCCACTATCAGATGTAACATTTTGAGGTAGTATCTGCTACTCCCATTGAAGAGAGTGGTACTTAGAAATATTCATGTAAGGCATCTTATTTCAACTTAGCCAATGAAACACAGATTTTTTGAGATTAGTTGTGGTATCCAAGTCTAAAAGCATTGCCTGCAGAAAAATAACTAGGACTGGATTCTTATCTTTTATGGATTTAATTTTTTCCTTATGGGGCGTTCTGTACAAACAGGATGGCTTTAATATGAAAGTCAGAAAGAAAACTGTATGACAACCAAAAAAGCATTGGCTAGCACAATCTTGAAAAAGACAAGTGAAATGCCAAAATGGTAATACAAGCATCATAAATGATCAAGATACAGACTCTTGCTAAAAACTCAAGACACTGTTTGTCAGACTTCATTGGACTCTCTTGAATGACAATCCCCAATACTTACAGCCCTAACTTAAAGCACATTAACAACTTTGGTGATGTCTGTGGTTTCCCAGCACAGTTGTAGGAAGCTACCTCTGCACCATTTTGTAGAATGGTCCCCACTGTGAGGACCATTCAAAAATTAGGAAGAAGGTGGTATGGGTAAATAGAGGGAATAGTGGGGAGAGGCCAAGAAAGGGGAGGGTGCCTAGCAAAGCTTTCATGGAAAAGAGGAAGGCAGAGAAACTCTGTCCCAAAGTGGTGGTTTTAATAGGCTTTTTAAAAATTTAATTTAATTTGTATGTGTATGTATATAGTTCATAAACTACAGTTTTTGTCTTTGTAAAGTGCTCAGCTGAGATATTTTGCGTATTCAATTAGTTTAAACTAACATTTGATGTAATTAATGTAAATTATATATTCCAGTTTGAGAGAAGTTCTTGTATGCCGTTGTAGGGTTTCTCCCAAATGTTGAATTCCTTGTTTTTTCTTTTTTAAACACTGAATACTTTAATCATAGTTAACCAAACTAAAAATGAATTATCAAATTTTGAGGCAGGATAATTCTGGAAGGGTCTTTTTAGGATAACTCCTTTAGAATGTCTAAGAAGAATTCATAGAATTTAAAAAGAAAAAATTGTTGGGGTTTTTTGTCCACAATTTAATTAGGGCATAGAAATTGTGATAATAGGAGTGTAAATATTGCCACCATGGAGCATCTCTCTTGATATGGTCTTAGATTAAAAAAAACAGAGACCCAGGCTAGTTTGTTTCAGTGGATGTACATACAAATTGTGCTTAAGTAGAATTTTGCAGAGAGAATAAGCAATGATCAGTTGAAATGCTCCAGTTAGATTTTTTCCCCTATATATTTATTACTTCATATCCACATGTACTGTTTCATATCATTAAGTAGTAGGTGGACACAGTCTTAATGAAACTTAACTTTCAAAGTTACTAACGTGCTACTGGACACCCTGGTATGCTGTTTTCACATCAGTCCTTCAACTGAGTGAATCTATAAACAATTCTAAAATCCTCATGGGCCAGACAGAAAAATCTGTTGTCATCAAGGGCCTGACTGCATGAGGTGCCACAACTGAATGCTATGTATCATTGAGCCTTCGCTGGAAAAGGAATAAGCTGTCCAGTTTCAGGGCCCTTTTGGAACTACTAAGATATTTGGATAGCTGATATGAAAGAACTACCTCCTAAGAGTGAGACCCTGTGACCCATACCCACGTTGGGCAGGGCTTCTCTATGGGAATGCTGAAAGGACTCAAGAGATGAAGATACCTTTCACTGGAGACAGTACAATCAGTAAGGTTATATGCTGATACATATCCTTAATGTAGATAGTTCCTTCTCCTGTGAGAGTCTGAACTGACTACTTAGCTGATATGGCAGCAAATACACATCAAAGAGTTTGAATCCTTTAGCTACAAAGATGGAAAGTTTCCAAATGAAACTGCTATAAGGATGCAAAGCTTACATTCTCCTAGCTAACATATCTCAAACAAGTTAATAATAAAAGTGGGTGATTTAGGGGAGAGCACAGAAGAGAAACTGCTGGTTCTGGAATGTGAACTCATTCTCCCTCAAAACAGTAACTAATGGGGATCACTGCTAAATGTTGGTGAGAATTTGCAAGGAAGAATTTAGTCAAGAAACCTAGCCTTTGATGGGTTGTACAATGTTTGTGAAGAGATGATTTCCTCCTGTGTGCTAATGAAATATGCTAATTTAATGTGTTTAGCTCTTTTAAGTTATTTACATATAGCGTGTTTGTGAATGCTCAGTGTTTGCTAGTTGTGCTGTGCTGGTTGGTTGCAGTCGGTAAGACAAGCCAAGTAACATTTCTAATTCAGCCCAGGAAGCATGAACAAGTACATCCTTCTTTGATGTACAGACCCAAAGTCAAACTTCTCCTGCAGAGGGTTAATTCTTCTGCAAGGAGACTATGTTAATATAGCACTGTTCAGGGTCATAGATTGTGCAACACCATCACCTATACGTAGACTGGTACAGAGAACAATCTATATAAACACAGTTGGAGATCTTATTTGTGTTGAAGCGAGGATTGATTGCTTTCCATTCCCTGCCTCTGCGTTTAAAATGTCCATGCAGTTACAACTGCCTACTTGTAACAGTAAATTTCCCATGAAAAGGTTAAATCATTCTTGTGTAGTCAGCACTGATTAGAATTTCTGTTACTGGGTAGAATTTCAACTACGACTGTTCCTCACCAACTACTGCCTAGGCTCGGGCTGGTAAAAAGGCACAAAGGGACTCCATTTTACCCACTCCCCAGCAAATCCTCAGGGGCCTGCAAGGCTGATTGCTTTCTGACTGCTGTCCTGGGGACTGAACTGAAGACTTCTCTGGCTGGAAGCAAGGACTCTGATAGCTTTAGCCAGTTAGACATTGTTTGAGACCTGCATATTCTGTCCTTATAAGAAGTGCTTACTCTTCCTGATTTCTACAGCTGCACAGCTAGGATGCCAGCATGATATTCCACTCAGAAACAGCACAGCTGAACTGGGGTGGTTAGGAGCTGGTCTATCCTTGTACCACAGCTGCTGTTTGGCTTGCCAATGAGCACGCATCAGCTTCTGAGGCTGAAGAAGTGTTATCTGCATCCACTATCCACAGGCTAGTGAGGTTCTGCTTGGGCATTCCACCTTCCTTCTAATTTAGGTCACCTTCCAATAACATAAATGTGGCTTTAAACCTAAAAAAAATGGTACGCAGAACTTGCAGGAGCAAGTAGAGTGGAAACCCAAACAAGGGACCCTTGACCTGATTTTCAGTTGACAACATTATGTAACCACACAGTCAATCCAGCAGAGTCCAGCATAATCCAACATTATTAGAAGGAGGAAGGGAGAATCTAATGAAGATTCTGAATGTAACCTAGAGTCTGTAAGACAAGAAGTGATTTAGAAATGTGTCAGCTTGATTTTTAAAGCTGGTGCTTTATTTCTATTGGAACCTGCATGAGGTTGGCCCCTAGAACAGCACAGGCAAGTGAAATACTTGGCTTTTTTCTTTTTAAATAGTGATGTGCAATAACTGTCTTAAACACTCACAATGATGGAAGAACAGGACATTATTAACTGTGCAAGGAATTAATCAGAACAGCCACAATCTGCTATGTTTTTTCTGGGTAGCAAGACCTTTTGAAATTCTCCTGTTTCTGTGCTTCATTTCTGTCACTGCTCCTCTGATGTGGCTTCAGATAACTTTAACTTCATGAACAGCTGAGCTACTTCTTGTCTGAATACAATGGATTTTAGCTTAAGAGCAAGTTCATGACTTGACATCTGTGTTAGAGCATACCTGTAAAATGGTGATGTATCCTTCTCAGAAGTGCATCTACCATGGGAGACTCAAACTTCAGCAACTTTTAGAAGCTCAGCCATTATTCAACTCTTTTTCATGCTTTTATGGAGTGTGTTTTTCTCTATTCCATGGGAGGTTATCCACCTAGTGGGAGTATGTATACTACTATTTTTTAATGCCAGCACCTTGATTGTGCATGTTAGTGCTAGACGTTCGCAAATAAACTAGCACTTGAGCATGATCCAGGATTTAGATCTCAACCCTGCTTCTCCTGCCCTTTAAACAGGAAGAGGGCTAAACCAGTAGCTATATAAAGCACTGGGCTTGCTCCTAATGGACACAGTGAGTATTGGAGAAAAGCCTCAAAGAGACCAAAGTCTCTTTGATCTGGATTCATGTCTTGACCTGAACTTTAGACCCATAACAGATCAAAACCTTTTGGGCCCCCTGTGTAGTCAGAAGAGTGGGATGCTCTTTCAGACAGTTATTCCTTTCACCTGATTTAGGTCCCTCTTGCTAGATGAGATACATTTGAGCATGTGTTTCTTTATGCAAGAGAAAGCACAAGCACCCTCAAATTACCTTTTTTTTAAAAACAAAACCAAAAAAGCTGAAGAATGTAGTTTAAAAAAATTAATTGTATCCAGAGAAATTATTAGCTGAAGATTTCTCAGATGGTGACATTATTTTCACGAGGGATACTAGATTGGGATGTATGAAACAATCAAACCAGAACCGCACATCAATTGTTCTTTCTTCATCTGGTCTCCTTCCGAAACACTTCTCTATACCACTTCAAGAAAGGATTTTGTTTTCCTGTTCAGCTAATTTCCCTTCCTCATTTCACTAATGTATGTCTCCATTGATGTGCTCAGTAGCACTTTTCTCCATTGAGAACCAGAAAACTGTCTGCCTGTAAGCACATGCATAAAAAGATCTCTGAACCACCCAAGGAGTTTACCTTTCTTCCTGATGCACTGACATTTAATAGCCACATCTTACAATAAAGCAGAAAAACTGTGGCAGTCTGGTTACATGCAATTTTGGTGGAGTAAACACTTGATTATTCAACAATGAGTCATTTCTGCAGTAACCTCATTCTGTCATGACTGTATCACATCTGCTAACTCTCCGAAGAAAAATCATAACCTGTTTAAAACGTGAATACAGCCTCGTGGTTCATACGTAACACTCAACCAAAGAAGCCACGTGCTGTGAGTTTAAAAGGCCAAAGTACTTGTTCTCAAAGAGAAAATATCATAGAGAACAACAAAGATAATTATGAAAAAAGCTTCTCCATTCTTTAGCTCTTCTCACAGTGTCTGGCTTCTCCATTATTCTTCAAGTCTCTCTTCCTTCTCTTAGA